ATGGGAAGGCATGGAAAAAAAACTGAAAAATTGGGGGGAAAAAAAACAGTTTTTTTCCCCTTTTTGTTTTTAAAGCCGTTTTTGTTTTTTTCCGGAACTATTGGAGAAAAAGAAAGAAGTGTAGAACATGTTCTTTTTCAATTATAAATAATATATCTATGACATGGTATTCACACTATATAACACTATATAAAGACTTTAATAAAACATTTGAGACTTTATGTAAAGTCCTACATTATTGCAAATTCTCTTAGCGGAAGACAAGGAACTCCTGAAATACAATTCAAGTAACACTGTACTTCTCAATGCAGTTCTCGAACAAGAGAAATATGCATTTATGCCACTAGGGGAGGCAGTGCAGTGGAAAGGCTCCAGTTTAGTTTACTTGTGGGCTTCATATTGTGCCTCCTGGGTGATTGTTGGGATCAGGGCTTTTTTCCTCAGAGATTAGGTGCAGGAACTCCCCCTTCTGAATCACCTCTCAGTCCCCATCCCTCTACCCACCTCCAAGCGCAGTCCCTTGCTTCCAACCCTACCCACCCCAGTACTGCTCCTTATAGAGAATACACAGCTAAGTATTATTTTGTGGTGCAAAGTAATTTTTATGGAATTTGCTAATAACAAGAAAAGCTATAAAAAAAAGATCCCCTGCAGCCAGCAGCAATAGACTAACCAAGCAACAAAATACCACTCCAACAACAATAGACCCCCAGCAGCAACAACACATCTCCAGTAGCCAGCAACAGTAACCCCCCCCCCCCCCCCCCCCAACAGTAAATCCTTTCCAGCAACAATATATCCCCTACCAGCAACAACAGACCCCCATGCAAAAATAGATTCCCTACAGTGACAATAGATCCCCCCACCAGCCAGGATCAATAGACCTTCCAGCACACCCCAGCACCCCTTGCCATTACATACATTAAGTGCTGGAGGTGCCAGAACTGCATTCCCCCACGTTCCCACTGAAAAAACACCCTGGTTGGGATACAATAGATGATAGTTTCTGTCCTCTCAAGCCTTAATTGACAGGTAAGAAGGTACATTTGTCTGACAAATTAGTTTATCTTTATAACCATTAAATTATTCATATTAATGTTCTCCACCATCACAGCATAATGTTTTCCTATAGTCTGGCTTTCCAAAATTTCAGGTTTTTTCCAGAAAAAAACAGGGGAAAATGTTTTTTCCCCCAATGGCTTCAAAACCTCTATCTAGGACTCCAGACCAATACCAATCCATCAATGCTTTTTGGTATTTATATAACTTTTCCCAGCCCTCTGCTTTCATCAGAGTTGAGGTCTCTTGAGAGGAGTACTGAGGCATGGAGCTGTGGTGTTTTCAGGAAGCCATGTACACCACCCTGCATAGAAAAGCACAGAGATCCACTTATGGCATCACTGAATCCAAAATAATGTGTGTAATGGCTCTCCATGGTGGCTAACAAGAATAAGAATAATTGTGCATTACATTTTTATTTTACCTAGAAAAAGAAAATATATTTTACAATTTGTATTCTTTTGTCCTAAGCAAAACAAAGAAAGAAAGAAATATTAAATATTAAATAAGAATTAAACTCAAAAGAAGACGTTTATTATATTGCCGCTTACCAATTCTTAGGTGTGATGACTGTATTAGTTTTCTTTATAAGGCTTTCTTTCTTCTATTTGTATCTGGTGATCCACCCAGTAACTCTGCTGTTTTTGAAAAGAACACTCTCTCTTCCATATGTATCAGGTTACAGGGATTAGACAAACCATTTAACACCGACAGGAGTGCTTACAATGATTAGCTTTTATTTATTTTTGTAAAACCTTTATCCCAGAAGGAAAAATAAACAGTTTGCTTTAACTTTAATTATAAAGCATTAGCTGAAGTTCAGCTTCAATGTGTTAGTGTATTTAAATCTGCTAGTACATCTAACAATAACCTCGTCCCAGACTGACACTGCTGCTGTCTGCTGCACCCCCTGTGCTCCTTCATCCACAGTGGAGGTACTCTAATACAGGAAGTGTGTTACTGACCAAATCACCAGGTGAAAACCCAGGGAAAAAGCCTAAAAAAGAGAAACCTAATGCAGCCAACACAACTAATAATTGGTAAGCTGAAATATAAAACATTTTTGGGTTTTGAGTTTAATACCGCTTTAAACTACTTTACATCCCTTGTACCGTGAGTCCACATGATATTCAATATTTTACCTTGCTCCAGATCCTAATATAGCTTTGCATTTGTAATGCTGAAATGCTACTATAAGTTTGCTGTACGAATTCTAGATCAATTAAGACATTTTAAATAAATGCACCTAGATGCAGGGGCGTATTTACCACAAGGCAAACAAGGCACTTGCCTAGGGCAGCATTTTTCAGGGGGGCAGCACCTCCCCCAGAAGAAGGAATGAAAGAAGGGACACGCACTCCATGGGAACCAGGTGGGATCCAAGAGAGACTGCGGGCTGCTTGACGGTGTATGTGGAGCCTGATTCCAGGGATGTCCAGAGCATTGAAGATGAGTGTCTTTTTCTATATCGCTGGGGGGTGGTGGTGTTGGTCGGTGTCCCTGGGTGCAGACGATTTTTGTGTTGCCACTGCCTAGATGCATACTTTATTTCATGAGATTTATTACAGTTGGCCTAAGGTCCTTTCCCCAGCAAGATGAGGATGTTGAGCTACAAAACTTGAAATCTCTAATTTTTCCCTTAAAGTGTTACTAAACCCACAACAGTAAAATCAGTCTGTATATGCAGTAAAGCATGCTGGTTATACTCACTGTGGAATCTAAGGGGTTAATACCCCACATTGTGTAAAAAGGCTGTTTGATCCGGTCCTCTCTCATCCTCACCTACATCTACTGTTCTCAATCCATCTGCTAATAGTACAGAGCTCTAGAAGTCACTCTGCACATGCTCAGTTTAGTGTGTATTGCTAGACAGTTTTTCTTTGGGAGGGTGCATGTGATCAGCACAGGGTCAATCAGCACTGCCCAGACAGAGCATCAGGGGTCATGCAGCCTCATAGGACAGCCAGAGCAGAATGAAAACTCCTCCTACAAGATTAACCTGTGCTCAGCCGGATACTGATAGACATCACAAGACTGCTATATACTGCTGATGAGAAAAAGTATTTAGCAGTTTATATTTACTACATTAATTGCATTTCCATGTTGTGTGTACTGTGGGAGAGCAGATATAGTGAATGCAGAGTCCTGAGTTTAGCAACATTTTAAAGTTCACTTGAGGATTCCTTTGTTTTATCTCTGCCCATCCAATCATTTTACATCACGACCAAGGAGCAAGTCTGCCGAATAAGTGCTGCTAGTAAGAACCAGCAGTTATATCATCACTATTAATAGGGCTGTCACATAATATGGCAATTTTTCTTATGCTGCATGTCCTTGAGAATACCTCATTTTTTTTAAGCCGGTCCTTGACAGCGCACTCATATGAGAACACAAAAGAAAAATGTTCCCTGATTATCCAGCAGACACTAAATAAAGATGACACATCTCTCCACAAAACAACTCGCCCAACTGTTTTAAGCAAAGCTGTTTCGACAATATGGAAAACACTTCTTAATATGTTGGAAAGTAGATGCAGCATACCCTAGGATAAAAACAAAAACGCCAGGATTATTTAGTAGCAAAATAAAATGTGTTGGTGAAAAATAAGTATTTGTTAAGTGAGCTTTGCCCAAATAGGCAGGATAAATACAAATAAAAAAAAGTGTTTTGTTCTAGGTGCACGGTGACCAATCAGTATGCAGACTTACAGTGGAACTTCACCCCTGCTCTGTACAGGCTCCTCCCCCATCCTGCACCGCCATTACTGCGCATGCACAGATACACTCAAGGAGCTTTGCTTGACCTTCAGTCCTGGTGGAGCTCATCAATGCATCTTTGCACGCACAAGGGTTTTTCCACTCATGCAAAAACAGGGAAGGTTTCAGACTTTTGCCAGGTCTTTCTTGAGATTTTTCCTTTGTTTGTCCTGGTGAGCATTATCATAGAGACACAAAGTGATGAGAAGTCCAAAATTGTACAATTTTCACCAGGAGGTGAAGAGAAATCTTCCAAAGGAGACTTAAAAGATCAGCAATATTTTTCCACGTTTCTCTTTTTCGCAAGTTTAATTTGAAATACTCTATATACTGGGATACTGTAGATCAGCTTAGAAAATTGCCACTACAGCTTTCAATTCAGAAAAGTGTGATGGCTTGGGGCATTTGTCTGACCTTGTCCTTGACTGATATGAGTACAATGATGTGAAATTGGTTGATTGTCAGCAGTTCCTCAGTTTTGCACTTGGTCACTGCTCTTTGCACAATCCTGATGTAATTTATGATCACTGAATTTTTTTTTGCAGCTTCTTAACAAGGACCCAGAGTGTCGCTATTCCTCCTTATCTGACATTCAGACCTCCCCTTACTTGGCAGATATGAACTGGGATGCCGTTTTGGAGAAATCATTGACACCCAGCTTTGTCCCTAATGTAAGTTTTAAAGCATGAAAACAATGATGCTAAATATATATATTGGAAATTGATATGGTCAAAGTTTTGTTTGATGTTATTTTTGTTTTTTAAGTCAAGAGTATAGTTGTCAATATAGCAAGGCAATATAGATCAGCCCACCTTATCAGCAAGTGTTAAAGTACATTTCCAATTTTGCAGTTACATTTGAGAAAACTTCACTATGTGTTTGTTATCTGTTTCTGTTTACACAGCATACCTAAAAAAATAAATAAAATAAATATATATATATATCTCAAGATAACAAATGGCAAGCACTGATGGCGAGCGTTGTATATAGCAAAAAGCAGCTAGCACAAGAGACAATGACAATAAATCTCACAGTAACATATGTGTATAAAGTGCAGAGCTAAATCATATAGTAAAACATCCAAGAGTTTTGAGGAAACACCAAATGAAGTTTAGACATATGTGCAAACAAAACATAAACATCAGTGAAACAAATTAATAAAGTCCATACAGTGTAAAATATAGGTGCTAGTGTATATCACAATAAAAATGTGACAAAGTATAGTCCATATATGTGTCAGTGGCAGGGGCGGACTGACAACTTATGGGGCCCCCGGGCAATAGGGGATCATGGGGCCCCTGTGTCCTTTCCCAAACTCAAAAAAGCCTATGAAAAAGGTACCGGGGGCATCTCATGGGGCCCCCTACTGACCCCGGGCAGTGCCCGGGTTTCCAAATGGTCAGTCAGCCCCTGGTCAGTGGTACTGCAAGACACAAAACAGCAACGTGTCCAAATCCAAAACAATGCCAAGGGGATCCAGTGAACACTCCACCACCACTATGCACTCAGAATATAGTAGTAATGATTGATGGTCAATCAGATACAATGTTCATCCTTTATGCAAAGTCCTATTTTAGCCATATTTATTTTAAGGCTGAGGGTTGAGATACACTTTAAGCTATTAAAGTTACAAGCTTTCAGAACCCGATAGGTTCCTTTCTTGTGCATTATACAATTTTGAAAATAATGCCACATAATTGTAAAATGCCTGAGGAAAGAACCTAATCAGTTGCAAAAGCTTGCATCTTTAATAACTAAAGTAACCCAGTAAAGGGAGGTAACTTTACACACTAAATGATAAATAACATAGCATAAGACTCTGCTGCTGAAAACATCTGTATAAAATATGGTAATCACAACATGGAAAAGCAGCGGGCAAGTAAAATGTAAATGCTACATCAATATGTGATACGGATTACTGTGCTGGAAATTCAGTCTGTAAAGAGTCACCCGTAGATCTGAGTCATCTAAGACTGCCCGATGTGCAAAATTTTCTTACAACACTGAGAGTAACCTTGTGTTCATTGTCAATGACGATGAATCTCCCACTTTTAGCAAATCTGTATAAAAGAAGTCAATAGAAATCTGCAATAAATGTATCTTTAGAACATATTTACAATATATGATCTGTTTATAGATGAATTCTTGAGTTTACCATAGTATAGGCATTTCTGCTTACTTTTACCAAGAGTTGACCTTAAAAAGTAATCTATGGGTGTAACTGAAATTAACTGTATAAAATTTTGCTTACTAGTACATTTAAAAAAATCATAAACATTTTAACAATCTAGCATTATCTGTAAATATTAATGACAAACGTATGACCTCAGTAAACCAGGCTTGTGAAATTGTGTGTCTACACGAACATCAGAAAATGTAGACTTCATTTACTGAAATATCAATTAGTGGGGAAAACATTTAAATAAAGCACTTGTAGTGGTATAAAGAGATGCAAAATATATCTAACAATACATTTTTTTGCACAAGTGTCAAACGACTTTAACCCAAGATTTATGCATTTTTCTAATTAGATTCTATTAAAAAATTGTATGAATCTTGGAAGAATGTTGTGTAAATTTTGCGTGAAAACACATTAATAGACCCTTAGCAGACATAATTAGCAGTGGTTTAGATGAGGTCACATACCTAGATACCTTCACATACTAGAAACTACACTGCCTGAAAATTGCCTGATTCCTCCTGCAGTGTTCTGTCAACAGAAAATCGACTTTAGTATAGCCAGCCTACCCATACATGGTTTGGTTCTCAGTCCATCCCTGCTGAACTGGCCGAAATTCAATCCATGTATACAGTCAGGTCCATAAATATTGGGACATCGACACAATTCTAACATTTTTGGCTCTATACACCACCACAATGGATTTGAAATGAAACGAACAAGATGTGCTTTAACTGCAGACTGTCAGCTTTAATTTGAGGGTATTTACATCCAAATCAGGTGAACGGTGTAGGAATTACAACAGTTTGCATATGTGCCTCCCACTTGTTAAGGGACCAAAAGTAATGGGACAATTGGCTTCTCAGCTGTTCCATGGCCAGGTGTGTGTTAATCCCTCATTTTCCCAATTACAATGAGCATATAAAAGGTCCAGAGTTCATTTCAAGTGTGCTATTTGCATTTGGAATCTGTTGCTGTCAACTCTCAAGATGAGATCCAAAGAGCTGTCACTATCAGTGAAGCAAGCCATCATTAGGCTGAAAAAACAAAACAAACCCATCAGAGAGATAGCAAAAACATTAGGCGTGGACAAAACAACTGTTTGGAACATTCTTAAAAAGAAGGAACGCACCGGTGAGCTCAGCAACACCAAAAGACTCGGAAGACCACGGAAAACAACTGTGGTGGATGACCAAAGAATTCTTTCCCTGGTGAAGAAAACACCCTTCACAACAGTTGGCCAGATCAAGAACACTTTGCAGGAGGTAGGTGTATGTGTGTCAAAGTCAACAATCAAGAGAAGACTTCACCAGAGTGAATACAGAGGGTTCACCACAAGATGTAAACCATTGATGAGCCTCAAAAACAGGAAGGCCAGATTAGAGTTTGCAAAACGATATCTAAAAAAGCCTTCACAGTTCTGGAACAACATCCTATGGACAGATGAGACCAAGATCAACTTGTACCAGAGTGATGGGAAGAGAAGAGTATGGAGAAGGAAAGGAACTGCTCATGATCCTAAGCATACCACCTCATCAGTGAAGCATGGTGGTGGTAGTGTCATGGCGTGGGCATGTATGGCTGCCAATGGAACTGGTTCTCTTGTATTTATTGATGATGTGACTGCTGACAAAAGCAGCAGGATGAATTCTGAAGTGTTTCGGGCAATATTATCTGCTCATATTCAGCCAAATGCTTCAGAACTCATTGGACGCTTCACAGTGCAGATGGACAATAACCCAAAGCATTCTGCAAAAGCAACCAAAGAGTTTTTTAAGGGAAAGAAGTGGAATGTTATGCAATGGCCAAGTCAATCACCTGACCTGAATCCGATTGAGCATGCATTTCACTTGCTGAAGACAAAACTGAAGGGAAAATGCCCCAAGAACAAGCAGGAACTGAAGACAGTTGCAGTAGAGGCCTGGCAGAGCATCACCAGGGATGAAACCCAGCGTCTGGTGATCTCTATGCGTTCCAGACTTCAGGCTGCAATTGACTGCAAAGGATTTGCAACCAAGTATTAAAAAGTGAAAGTTTGATTTATGATTATTATTCTGTCCCATTACTTTTTTTCCCTTAACAAGTGGAAGGCACATATGCAAACTGTTGTAATTCCTACACCGTTCACTTGATTTGGATGTAAATACCCTCAAATTAAAGCTGACAGTCTGCAGTTAAAGCACATCTTGTTCGTTTCATTTCAAATCTATTGTGGTGGTGTATAGAGCCAAAAATGTTAGAATTGTGTCGATGTCCCGATATTTATGGACCTGACCGTAGCTAGTGGGACCAACCACTCTCTGTTCTCTCTCTATGTGATCAGAGGCTGAACTGAGCTCTTTTCCATGCTCTGACCTGGTGAAGCAGACAAAATCCCCAGTCTTCTCCATGGGTCATAGTCAGTGGGTAGAAGGCTAGCCCCTAGTCCCCTCTTGTCCCGGTTTGGTCTGTCACAGCCAGCTTTAATTGTACTGTGCCGTGGCATCATTCACCAACTACTATTCATTGTTACCAGCAGTTGCTCAACTGCCAGGTAGAGCTTGGCAAATATACTTTTAAAGAAGTGTGTTTGCTAAGTAATATCAATGTTCAGAAAGGACTGTATGAACCAGAAGACTGCAGTTTGTGTGAGTTTATTAAATATGGATTACCGGTTGCTTGGTGCCAAATTTTCCAGAAAGGATGTGCATCTGTGCACTCATGAGACTTATTGAAGACTCTTCACATTTTTTTAGGAAAAATCTCAAAGCTTTGCTGTCTTCTCATGGGAAATGGAGGAGAATTGGTGCAAATATATCTTGCTGTACTAAAATGATCAAACTTTTGGCATTCAATTCAATTGATTGCCATACACTGCGTTGCTGGAAAAGAAATCAATGTGTGCATATTGAAAGCTAAAATTGCATACTAGATCCCAGGTCTTCCTCCTTCTATTTAATTTGGGAGGGTCCAGTCTGCAGTACCCACATTGCTCCTCCCTGATGTGGGCGTTGCCAGTTGGCTATGACAGTTGTCCATCAGTCAATCCTGAAAGGTCCAGAAGCCTTTAGTGTGATGCCACGATAAGAGGTGGACACAAGACTGGTCAGCAGAGCACAGTCAGGAACTTCCAATCATTAGTCACAGCTACTGAAAGAGTATCACAAGCCAATTGATTAGGGTGAGTTTTTCCAGGTTTTTAGATTTGAAAAAAAAAAAAAAAACACACAGATTGGGTTGGAACAGGGTATTTTTTTTAACTGACAACATGCTTCAAGCTTTCAAGTGTATGTAAAGTATATGGACAGATTTCAGGTGATTACTCTGGCTTGCATCAACTTTTTTTCTGAGTGAATTTTCATAGATTATAAAGAATCTGCCTATTGCATATGTATTATCTTATATGTTTAATGGTTTATCCTTTGTTTTTATGAGTAAGTAACATTGTGGTAATTCTGTACAGGGCACTACTTGGTGCAGCAATGGAGCACAACGTTTTTCTGTCTTCCTAAAAACTTACCAGTAAACACTGACGATTATAATTGATTGGGAAAAAGTAATTCTAGACGGGCAACTGTCTCCTTTTATGGCAAGTCTCATTTTCAATGAAACATTCCTTCCTTTCTCCCCTTCTACTTTTTCTTGGGGCTTTTTATAAGATCTCTACAGTTAAAATAAAGAACATAATATGATCTCAGTATGAGGCTTTATTCTGGTGGTGCCATGTAAAATTGAATCACACTCATCCACAGAGATCTGCCAATATGTCCAGTGCAAGCTAATTCAGTTTTGTTGGACTTTCTGCCAACAAAATGTCATGTTTACCAAGATGAGAGGGACATTATGGCCATGCATATTTAATACAGTACATAACATCTGAGGCATATGAAATGAGCAGACGTTTTGGCACACAGAGCTAGTGTTGGCTGCCGCTGAGCACTTGATGACCGCGTGCCAGCTTCAGCTCCTGGCAGGAAAACCACAGGTTCTACAGGAGAAAACTCTTATCCGAGAAAGTCATTAGTAGTTTTTTTTTTAATTGTTAATCTCCTGCAGTAAGTACGTTTCTTCTTCTTTTGAGATAATGGCTTTAAAGGGCAGCTCTAAGCAAACAGCTAAATACATGTGTAAAGGAAACCTGCACTGAAAGAGATACAGGGCTGTCATTCTTGATCTCCT